CAATCATGTGAAATATGTTAGTCATGTGAAACATGTTACATTCATGTGAAACATGTTAAACTCATGTGAAACATGTTACAATCATGTGAAATATGTTAGTCATGTGAAACATGTTACATTCATGTGAAACATGTTAAGTACATGTGAAACATGTTACAATCATGTGAAATATGTTAGTCATGTGAAACATGTTACATTCATGTGAAACATGTTAAACTCATGTGAAACATGTTACATTCATGTGAAACATGTTAAACTCGTGAAAAATGTTAAAGTCATGTGAAACATGTTAAACTCATGTGAAACATGTTACAATCATGTGAAATATGTTAGTCATGTGAAACATGTTACGTCCATGTGAAACATGTTAAACTCATGTGAAACATGTTAAACACATGTGAAACATGTTAGACACATGTGAAACATGTTTAACTCTTGTGATACATGTTAAACATGTTAAANTCATGTGAAACATGTTACAATCATGTGAAATATGTTAGTCATGTGAAACATGTTACGTTCATGTGAAACATGTTAAATTCATGTGAAAAGGGATACATTCTTGTGAAACATGTTAAGTACATGTGAAACATGTTACATTCATGTGAAACATGTTAAACTCGTGAAACATGTTAAACTCGTGAAAAATGTTAAAGTCATGTGAAACACTCATCAAACATATATTCACATTAAACTCCTGTTTCTCATCCAATCAGAACGAAAGCAGTCTGGAGCAGCTCACTCAGGGATTGGCCACTTTGGACATCAGTCAACCTCCAACCAAGCAGGTAGCTCCTGCTGTCTCTTCCCCAGTGGGTGGAGCCGAGATCTGTCCGAGCTCTGAGAAGGCGGAGTCAGAAGGCAGTCATTCCACAGAGTGTACACTGCCTCAGGTGAGTCATTGCCTCCTCTATCACCTGTCCACCTGAGTAAATCACACTTACTGTCTCTGACTCACCTGTCTTACCTGTCCATCTGTATGACTCTGTCCACTTGCTACAGAGTCCTGACGGAGCAGAGGGAGCGTGTGGTTGGTCAAAGCCTTTGCTGTCTCTGGAGGTGACATGTGACGCTGATGTGGGCGGAGTCAGTAAACCTTTTATTGTTACTAATAACCTGAATGAAAAACCAGGTGTGTATTTCAGTCTGCCCCTTTGTCTGTTCTCAGAACACTCTGTATGTTGTGGATCCTCTGCCCTGGTGTCCTCACCTGGACGCTGTTAGGCCCCTCCCCCCCTCAGGTATAAACATCTTCCTGCCGTGTGAGAACTGTGGCTCAGACACTGAGAACTGGATCTGCCTCACCTGCTACAAGGTGATCTATCTTACCTGTTGTGCTTTCATGTGTCTCACCTGATGTCCCCATGTGTCTCAGCTGTGTCTCACCTGATGTCCCCATGTGTCTCACCTGTCTCAGGTGTACTGTGGTCGTTATGTTAACGAGCACATGGTGACCCATGGCTTTGGGTCAGAACATCCGGTGGTTCTGAGCTTTTCGGATCTGTCCGTTTGGTGCTACCTGTGTGAGTCCTACGTCCATCACCAGGTGAGCTTTGACCCCTGCTGAGCCAATCAGCAGCTAGGCTCCGCCCCTCAGCTCAGTTGTTAACGTGAATGTTGGGGGCCGATGTTTGATTCAAACTGAAAACATTTTGATGTTTTTAAACAGATTGTTGTTGTTTATAAATATTTTATTGTTGTTTGATCAGATTCTCTTTGAAGCTAAAAACTCCGCCCACATTGCCAAGTTTGGAGACGAGATTCCAGCGTGGAGCTGAGAGGAAGAGGAGGAGGAGCCAGCAGCGCCGCCGCCTTTCTGCCAATGACTGAAGGAAGAAAACAGTTCAGAACCAGCAGGTTGCTGGTTCAAAATCCAGCTTTTATTTTGAAAATCCTGTTCAAAAACAGTTTGTTCTCATCAAAAACTAAATAAAGTTTATTTAAAAAAACCTCATGGATGTCAATCTGACCAGCAGCAGGACTCTGATGAGAACTGGATCAAGAGTTGTGATCCAGTTCTGCTTCAGTCCCTTCCTTTGTTATTGACCAGTTCTCTGTAGACCTGTTCCAACACAGGACCAGTTCTCTGTAGACCTGTTCCAACACGAGGACCAGTTCTCTGTAGACCTGTTACTGTTCCATCACCAAGACCAGTTCTCTGTAGACCTGTTCCAACACAGGACCAGTTCTCTGTAGACCTGTTCCAACACGAGGACCAGTTCTCTGTAGACATGTTCCAACACCAGGACCAGTTCTCTGTAGATCTGTTCCAACACAGGACCAGTTCTCTATAGACCTGTTACTGTTCCATCACCAAGACTAGTTCTCTGTAGACCTGTTCCAACACAGAACCAGTTCTCTATAGACCTGTTCCTGTTCCAACACCAAGACCAGTTCTTTGTAGACCTGTTCCTGTTCCAACACCAAGACCAGTTCTTTGTAGACCTGTTCCTGTTCCAACACCAAGACCAGTTTTCTGTAGACCTTTTACTGTTCCAACACCAAGACCAGTTCTCTGTAGACCTGTTCCAACACAGGACCAGTTCTCTGTAGACCTGTTCCAACACAGAACCAGTTCTCTATAGACCTTTTACTGTTCCAACACCAAGACCAGTTCTCTGTAGACCTGTTCCTGTTCCAACACCAAGACCAGTTCTCCATAAACCTGTTCCAACACGAGGACCAGTTCTCTGTAGACCTGTTCCAACACCAGGACCAGTTCTCTGTAGACCTGTACTAACACCAGGACCAGTTCTCTGTAGACCTGTTCCTGTACCAACACCAGGACCAGTTCTCTGTAGACCTGTTCCTGTACCAACACCAGGACCAGTTCTCTGTAGACCTGTTCCTGTTCCAACACCAGGGGGACCAGTTCTCTTTAGACCTGTTCCAACACCAGGACCAGTTCTCTTTAGACCTGTTCCTGTTCCAACACCAGTTCTCTGTAGACCTGTTCCTGTTCCAACACCAGGACCAATTCTCTATAGACCAGTTCCTGTACCAACACCAGGACCAGCTCTCTGTAGACCTGTTCCTGCTCCAACACCTGGACCAGTTCTCTTTAGACCTCTTCCTGTTCCAAGACCAGTTCTCTGTAAACCTGTTCCTGTTCCAAAACCAGGACCAGTTCTCTGTAGACCTGTTCCAACACCAAGACCAGTTCTCTGTAGACCTGTTCCTGTTCCAACACCAGGACCAATTCTCTGTAGACCTGTTCCAACACAAGGACCAGTTCTCTGTAGACCTGTTCCTGTTCCAACACCAGGACCAGTTCTCTGTAGACCTTTTCCTGTTCCAACACCAAGACCAGTTCTCTGTAGACCTGTTTCTGTTCCAACGCCAGGACCAGTTATCTGTAGACCTGTTCCAACACCAGGACCAGTTCTCTGTAGACCTGTTTCAACACCAAGACCAGTTCTCTGTAGACATGTTCCTGTTCCAACACTAAGACCAGTTCTCTGTAGACTTGTTCCAACACCAAGACTAGTTCTCTGTATACTTGTTACTGTTCCAGCACCAGGACCAGTTCTCTGTAGACCTGTTCCTGTTCCAACACTAGGACCAGTTCTCTGTAGACCTGTTCCTGTTCCAACACTAGGACCAGTTCTCTGTAGACCTGTTCCTGTTCCAACACCAAGACCAGTTCTCTGTAGACCTGTACCAACATCTGGACCTCCTTGTTTTGGGGGTTAGGGTTCTGCTCTGAGACCAGAGTCCTGAACTGTTGAACTGGACCTTGTGTTTCTTCAGCTGTTTATCCAGACTTAGACCCATGGACCTCCTAACAGAGTCCAGGTCCGTAGACCCTCAGGAGGACCAGCAGGACCTTGAGTTCTCCTCCAGACTAGATCTCATCTCTCTGCTGTTTTAGTTTTTACAATAAAACACTGAACTCCTGCTTCTGTTGACCCTCCTCCTCCTCCTCTTCATCCTCCTCTTTTCCCTCCTCCTCCTCCTCTTCCTCTTTCCCCTCCCCCTCCTCCTCTTCCTCCTCTTCCTCTTTTCCCTCTCCCTCCTCTTCCTCTTTCCCCTCCCCCTCCTCCTCTTCCTCTTTCCCCTCCCCCTCCTCCCGTCTTGCTGCAGCATCCTCCTTCTCCTCCTCCTCCTCCTCCTCCTGCAGACACGGAGCTCGTCCAGCAGCAGGTTGGTTCTTGATGTTTGTTGTTTGTCGGCTGCTTTAATGATGGCGTCTCGTCTCGTGAGGTTAAATCCTGGAGATGATGACGTCGTGTCTGATTATCTGATTGGCTGTCAGCCTCATGTTTACTGCAGAATATTTGTTTACTCTGATGCAGCAGGATGTTGGTGTTTATCTCCTGATGATTGACAGCTGTTATCACCTTTATTCTGTGGTCAACAGATTCATCTTACTGTTTTTACTTTGATTCTTGTGAAAATGACTGAAATCTGCAGCCGAATTTCTCCTCTTCACTGATTGGCTCATTATATTCATCAGGAACCAATCAGAGGGCAGCTTGTTTCAGGTGGATCATTGTAACAGCAGGCAAGTCAAACATTAGCTCCTAACACACCGAATCTTAACTGAAATCACAAAACTTTAGCTACTAAACACAAAACTTTAGCTGATGTCATACCAAACTTTAGCTGATGTCATACCAAACTTTAGCTGATGTTATACCAAACTTTAGC